TTCACCTGCCTTTGAGTTAAGCAGTCAAGCAGAGGAGGCAGCACAGAAGGAGGCAGACCAGGAAAGAACGAAATACGAGAAATGTAATAAACTTGGTATGGGGACACAGGAGAAATCTGCGTAGGGTGCTGGGAATGGCTTCACAGAAGAGGTGCCAGTGAGCTGGAATTGAAGAGTATGTCGGACATCAACAGTGGAGGCCTGAGGTATGCAATGACTGAGCAGAAATGTCTTAGGAAGGGTGCTATCAATGAACTGTACTTGCAAAAAGGTACATAAAGAAAGGTAATTGATAAGCCTTAAAGCAACTGGTCAGAGCCTTTTAACTTCTCCTCTAATGATTGTTCTTTCTGTTTTAGTAATTGAACCTCTAAATTTTAGTTGGGTTCATGACCCCTGAGAAAAAAAAAACTATACATCCCAGTTTCTCGTTTATCAATATATGTCTGTGTGACCAACTGCTGGCCAATGAGATGTAATAGAAGTATTTGCAAGGTAGTTTCTAGGAAACTTAAAAGACAGATTAAAAGACAACTGGTGCATTCCATTTACCTCCCCTTTGTATTGACTTTCTGCTCCCTGCAATGACTGGAGCCCCAGCCATCATTTTGGTCCATGAGAATGAGAGGTATACTCTAGGAATTGTGGAAGAATGACCTGGAAAATTCTAGGTTGCTGAAATACACAGAATAGCCCTACTAGCTCTGGACTGTCAACCTCTGGACTTCTGTTTTTTTTTCTCAAGAAACAGAAATAAACTTATTTAGGTCCCAGTTTTCTTATTTGTAAAACAGATAGCAGTACTCACTTCATTGGTTATTGTGAAGATTAAGTGCATTTATATAAGTAACACTTAGAGTGATGACTGGCATAGTGACATAATTTCATATATACATAATAATTATTTAATCATAATTTATCTACATAGATATGTCTCTCAGGTTTTATCTTGTGTTACTTTCTCTTCTCAGGCTACACTCTAGGTCAGGGTCAGCAATCTTCAGCCTGTGGGCCAAACATGACCCACCACCTGCTTTGTAAATAAAGTTTACTGGAATACAGCCTTTATTTGTTACATATTGTCTGTGGCTGCTTTTGTGCTACCATGGCAGAATTGAATAGTTGTGAGAGAGACCTTATAGCCTTCTGAAAATATTTACCATCTGGTATTTTGGAGAAAAAGTTTGCCAGGCCCTGCTCTAGGTGATCTCATCCTATCTCATAGCTTTAAATCGTAATTATATGTGACATCCAGGTGGATGTCTCCATCCCAGATGTCTTCTCTGAAACCAGGATCTTGGTTAAAGATAGCTGAAGATAGCTTGATCTTCAGCTATCAACTTGTCATCTCCATTTGCCCAACCAATGGGCATCCTCCAACTTAATTCTTTCCAAAACATGTTCCTCTCTCAGTCTTCCCATCTTTAGTACCATCCACCTGGGAGCTTAAGCAAATAACCATGGAACGAACTCTTCTCTTCCCTTCACTACCCAAATCCACTGGTTCTTCCTCCAAAATATATGTTTAATCCACCTACTTCCTTTTTTCCGCTGCCATCATCACAGTCCAAATCATTATCATCTCCTAATCGTCTCCCTTCTGGCTTTCTCATTGGCTTTGGATCACTTTAATATTTTCTTGACACAGCCACCAAAGAATACTGCTTTACAGGCTGCAAATCAGATAATGTCTCTTCCCTGTTTAAAACCTTCAGTGGCTTTGTACTGTATTTAGAACAAAATCCAAACCTCTACCAAAAGATGGCCCTTCCTCACTTCTCATCAACCCTCCCTCTTCTTTGACATAAACCAGAACAGCATATTCATTCTTCCTTGGGCACTCCAAGTTTTTGCCTGCCTCAATTCAAGGATGCTGCACATATTCTTTCCTGTGTCTGATATCTTTCTCCCTTCAGCTCTTCACAGGACGGAGCCCTTCTCATTCATTTGGATGGAACTTAAATGACACTTTGTGTGTCAGGAACCTCTTGATTCCCTGAGAGGCTTGAAAGCCTTGAGTCTCATCACATACATAACAACATTTGCTGTCTCAGAAAAAAGATGAAGGGCTCTCTGTGCACCAAAATCCGTGCGCATTAAAAAAAAAAAAGATAAAACGTTACATATTGCAGTAAGTGGATGTTCTTAGGCTTGAAAGTTCCTGGGAGATATCTGCCTGTCTAAAATTGAACCAGTTTGTTCTTTTACATTTTCATCACAAGAGAACAGAGATGGGGCTGTTTATTAAACCTACCTCAACTGAGGTTATGGAATGACAGTGCCAATCATCTCTGCCCCAAAAAAGATTGTAAAAATGATTAAGACATTTCCTGCCCTTTGACGGAGCTACTAAAATTGAGGAAAGTTCTCTTTAAAATGTAAAGAAGTATGGGTCTCCATCTCACTACTGAAGTGCTGAAAGCATGTGTAATATATTTTGGGGGAAAACTAAAGAGGTGCACAAAACTTTTTGAGCATGCTTTCTTGGACTGTCAAGGTCTGGAGTCTTTGGACTCATTGCTTATTAAAAAGGACTCCAAATTACTTCAACTCCAGAGATGTGAGCAGGGGCAAGCTCCTGGAACTTCCCGACCACTCAACTTTAAAGCAGCCCTTTCTCCAGATCCTAACACACATGGAACACTTATGAAGGCTCAGACCTGTTTTAGGTTTTCTTAGGATCGTAGGATATGATAGCAAGAACTTCTGAGCTATACATTCCACATGCATTTTATCTGATCATGAGAAAACTGAATCCCAAAGGGATGAAGTGACTTGTCACACAGTAGGTGGAGGCTACTAGGGCCATGACTCACTCTTGCTTTGCTGTATCATTTCTCCTATTGTAGGTCGGGCCTTTACTTTCCCAACTGGGCCCAGTGTTGTAGGGTTAAAGAGCTGCTATGGAGGAAAGGGAGTAAAGGGACTTGTCTCAAGCCTGGGGATTGACTACCTTCTCAGGATTTCTGCCAAATTATATAAAGCCTTGAGTCACTAGATCATGCAAAACTCTAACCATTTTAGAAACTTTCACTTCATCAGTCCTAGGAGTGTTAATTAGTATGACTCCTCTTCCCCTACAACTACTATAATGGTGTAATTCTTATTAAGTGAACACGATGGCTACTGGGTTAATATTCAGATGATGTTCCCGAAGTGGCCCAATAATACAGTCCCAAGAGATGATCTAAAGAGAAAACACAATAAGATTGTATGATCAAATGATGAGTTTGGGAAATGACACCTTCCATGCTCCTCTCTTGGAGATTCAAACACATACAACTTTGAATGACTTTGTATAACAGCATTTCCTAAACATGTCTGATTGAAGAACCCTGTGTGTATCTTGTAACATCTGTTACAAGGATTCCATGAAACATACTTTGAAAAACCCAGTCATCTGCTCTGTCAGATATATACACTGGAGCTAAGGCAGGAATACATAACATGTATTTCTCAGATTACACGCCAAGAACAGAGAGAAGAAATCTGCAGAAGGGGAGTGTCCTTTTTTGGGTCTTTACCAAGGACGAAAGCTACTGGCCAGAAAAGGCAAGCTGGACACATGGAAATGCAAATCCCCAGGTGGCCATAGAACAAGACCAGGGCCTCTTGGGCTCTTGAGTTAAGTCTGTTTTGGTAGGAATAGAAACTCAAAGTTCTCCTCTTTTAAAACATATTGTACACTGAATTTGTTTCTAATTTTTTCCATTGGTATTTAGTAAAAGCTTTTTATAGTTCTAGCCTGTTAGAACTCTACAAAAGGGCACCAAGGGGAGGCTTTTGTTCACAATCCATTACCAAGCAGAATATACTTTTACAAAAATGTGCTTGAAAAAGTGACAGTATTTTACTTTCATAAAGGGAATGGATTCTGATCTGGTGCAATGGAAAAAAATTGCTCTGATTAGAACATTGAGGTAGAAACAAGATACTCTTAGGGCCCAGGCTGATGGAAGCAGTTCCAATAATTGAATTGAGAGATTTCCAAAGGGAAAGGGACTCTTATCAGGCAGTCCTGGTGGCCTTCTCAACCTGGACACCTCTTTGTGGGTCTAAATTTTGGAGTAGCATGTTTTATTTCACAAAGGTTTAGCACATTTGTCCAAAAGATACCACAAACTCAGTTACAGCAGCCTTTTACTACATGAACTATGTCAATTTCTAGGATGAGCAAGTTAAAGGGAACAGGCTTTTGTGGTTCCACAAAGATTATAAAATAGACTCCAAAATCCTTAGGTCAGTGATTCTCAAATGATGGTTTCTGAACCAGCAGTATTAACATATTCCGCAACTTCTTAGAAATGCAAATTCTACAGCCCGCCCCAGACCAACTGGATAAGAAACTCTGGGGGGTGGGAATAGCAAGCCCTCCAGGGGATTCTGACACTAGGTAAAGTTTGAGAACCACTGTCTTAGTAAAGGCTGAAGTTATTCTAGCTGGTCTGTGTCAACGTTTTCAGCAATACCGGCTGTTACTGTGAGCCCTGGATTCTCAAAACTCCTTTCTGTCTTCTTCAGTTTCTGTTTTCTCCTGGTCCTGGCGGGTGTATTGGCTTTGTCCTTGATCTAGAATGTTTTAGGCCTAATTAGGCTAAAAAAAAATGGCGTGCTCCACGTTGCCAGCACAGCTCAATTTTCCTGGCCTCTACATTGAGTTTTGGTGAGCCTGCACTACCAGTACCATAGTACTTAACAAACTTTATCATTGTCACGCCAGACTCCAAAAAGGAGCAGTGATAGCTGACATTTTTGGGTCTTTGGACATAGTACTATCCCAATAGCACAAGCCCTCTGCTTCCACCTAACTCCACAGTCATAACCTATTCATGATAGACCAGAAACCTCCATGTCATATAGCCTTTTCCCATATGTCTCCTCTGTCTCTGGACAGTTCCTTTCAGTCATCTTCAAGGGATCATCTTCTCATCTGTCTTTTACAATTGGCCATACCTTTGGTTCTCTTCTCAGCCTTCTTGTAACCATACATATTCTTCCAGGTGAAGTCATTAACGTCTACGCCACAGCTATTGCCCCTGTGTGCAGATGGTGCTCAGTCTCCCTTGTGCCTTCCAGACTTGCATTCCAGCCACCTACCAAGACCCTTTCCTTGGATTCCAAGGTACCTCACATACCAATACTAAACTCAGTGTGTTGGATTCTGCGTTGAGTGCTTATATGCATCATCTTATTTAAACATCATAATAGTCCTACAGCAGCTATGGCTGGCCACACTTTAAAAAATATTTTACTTTAAGTTCTGGGATAATATGTACAGAACGTGCAGGTTTGTTACATAGGTACACGTGTGCCTTGGTGGTTTGCTGCACCTATCGACACATCATCTAGGTTTTAAGACCAGTGTGCATTCGGTAGGTATTTGTCCTAATGTAGCCACATTTTTTTAATAGATGAAAAAAATCTATTTGTCTGAAGGGGCACAATGGGTAATTTGAAGAGTGAGGATTCAAATCCAGATCTGTTCAAGTAGACATTGCATACTCCGACTTTTCATTACAGCTTATTTATCTCTCTGTAGCTTCGCCACAGCCTTTAGTCACAAAAGGCCAACTATTCTATGCTGCTACTATTTTAATTAAACTCATCATTTCTTATTAAGAGAAAAGTGGGCTAACCCAACAGGTTTCCATGCCTCTGATCTTACTCTGATCTTTCAACTCAGCCTCCACATTGCAGCTAGGGGAATTGATTTTAAAGGAGAAGCTAAAGTATGTCACCTATTGCCACTCTCACAACCCCAATTGTAGTGTGCAACAATGTTTATTTTTTAAGATACAGTTTTTAAAGACTTAGAAGTCTTTTGTAATGTGGCTCCTGACTCCTTTCTACTCCCATCTCTTGCCACTTGCTCATATCACCTGAATGCTGGCCATGTGCAGTTCGTTTGAACAGCATCTCTCTGGCTTGCTCACACATTGTTTCCTACACACAATGGCTCACGAACTGCGCTAACCACTTTCATATAGATCATATCATTTCAGCCTCACAGCAATCTTGTTCACAGATCTTTTAGAAATGAGGAAACCGAGACTTGGAGAGGTTCTGTAAATTGCCCACAGTCATAAGACTGATAAGCGGTATTCTAAATGCATGCAGATACCGTATTTATGTACAAAATAGTATGTCTCTGTTTTCCTGCCCTTACGCCATTTAGCAGTTTACACTGGAGTCTGGGAAACTGTGGGACTATGATGACTGACGTGCAGGGATTCTTCATGGTTTGTCATCTGTCCTCTTTGATGGATCCAGAAATGTAAATGTTTTAGGCCTAATTAGGTCAGACAAGCGAATTTATACACCTCAGACAAGGGCATTTATACATTCGGAACATTACTAAACAATCTTTGCTGGATGTTTAGTCCATGAAATTCTCTTTTGCACATTGAGAAATAATATATAGTCTGATTTCAGCCTAAATTCAGGATTTGCTCCATTTAAGTTTTCAAGTAGTGAATTGTAGGCTCCAAAATTCCCAGACATGTTTGTACTACTCCAAGGCCTTTCTTGCACAGTATTTCCAGTGGATGGAACAGTGCTGATTAAAGACTGGAGTCCTAGCACAGTGCCTTTCACGTAACAACCCTGGGATAAAGATCAAGGGTTTTCTTCTGACTGTTATTTCCTAAGACCAAAGGCAAATCATAAAGTCCTCTTGTGCTTTGAGAGAATGAGATACTATTCAAAAAGAGCTCAGGATCCAAACCAAAAGAACAATGCACATATACAAAAGTGAATAGTATAGTACTCTTAAGGCTGGAGATTGAAAGAAAAGTGAAAAAAGTTTGAAATATACTTCAGACCATTGTTATTATCATTGAAGTCTTCTATTTTCTAAGCCAACAGTGGAATGTCTGCTCTTTTTTTAATAAATGAACATTTGATTCAAAAGCAAACCTTAATGAATCTAATATAGTCTCATGTGGCTTGTAGAAAAAATGTAAAAATATTTCAGTTTTGGTGTAACTTTAATTAGACAATTGGCTTCATAATAATTGCATGGTGTCTTCATAACTAAACAATGAGACTGGTTGGGAAGGTATATCCATTCATTTTGCATGGTGGAAAACTACCCTACATAACTACTAAGGGAAGAGGTTAGTATTGAAATTTAGCCCCTTTAGTTCCTATTCTAGAACTTACTTTTCCCACTTCCACACCATGCTTTTCTAAGTGGAAAATTATTTTATTGTCTTGAAATTTCTGGGTGACTAATAATGTGTTTCAACACAAATTCTAAGATCACTTCAGTGATTACTCTGTTTTTCCAAAGATGTGCTTAATCTAATGTCACATTGTATATTTATCAATATGTTTCCCTGTATCTCTAGAAAAAAATGCTCTTCCATATTTTGTTTTTCATAAATACCATTTATGTTTTGCTTAATATCACATAGCAACTCATTTAGAGTATTTTTAAATTTAATCACCTAGAGAAAGTAAACACATTTCCCCTTAATGTGTTAAGATAATTATTTCATTGTAATTCACAATGATCGACTTGATGTGAAAAGTTGAGTGGTTGTTTAAGTGGAATAATTTTGACATTTAACAGCTACAGTATACTTTCTTTATCCCAGAATAACATGTCAGAGATTAATTTTGAAACAAATTTCCCTAATAATAGGAATAATGAATGAGCAATTGAATCGTCTGCATTTACTTTGCTTTTTCACCCTTAAGAACAACTAGTGCAAAATTTAGACTATGCCACAACTGATGTATTTTCAAAAGATTTATTCTTTGTCAGTAAAGGCTCCTGTCCTACATCATACTTGAAAATGTTATAAAAATAATAAGAGGTAAAAAGTTCAAAGTACTGATACACACTATGTTGTGGATGAATCTCAAAAACAGTATGCTAAGAGAAAGATGCCAGTCATACAGGACCACATACTGTAGGGTTCCATTTTTGTTGTTTTTCCGAAAAGGCAAATTGACAGGGACTGAAAGAAGAGTGGTCGCTAGAGGCTGGGCACAGGAATGGGGCCTAACTGTAAATGACTCAAAATTTCTTTTGGGATGATGGAAATATTCTAAAATAAGCCATGATGATGGTTGCACGCCTCTGTAAATATACTAACAATCATTGAACTATACATTAAAACGGGAATTTGATGGTATGTAAATTATATCTCAGTGAAGCTTTATAAAAATAGATGCAGGGTTACAAATAGCTTGAGTTAATTAAGGCTGATTCTCAAAATAAAATAAAGTTTACATGATTTATGTATCAATACCCTGTATGTTATTCTCCCAGATCTAATGGAGATACACCATAGGAGGAAAACATGGCCCTGACTCTGAAATTTGCAACCCAACTAAAAATAGATGTCAGCAAGCAGAAAACAGCATCCTACACACTGAATACTTCAAGCGGTAAGTGAACATTGAGTAAAATGGAATTATTTTTGAAACAACATAGGTTACATTCTTCATTATTCTTTCCTAAGACAAATGCTAGCCAGCCAATAGAATTTTCATCATCGCTTGGTTGTCAACAGAGTCACTGGTCATTTCAAGCCTAGACTTGAAACTCTGCCAACATTTTCTGTTTGAAAATCCTATGAAAAGAGGGTGCACACTTAACTTTTTATTCTCAGCTTACAGTACAATGTTGGACACATAGAACACACTCAATTTAAAACATTGTCAGTATAAGTCGAGATGAATTCACAATATCCACTGAATCAAGCAGGCATGTTCAGAAGCTACAATTAAATAAGACAGAACACAGTGAATACTTGGACAAAATTCATCATAGGATTAAAAACAAAAGCCCCAATTCATTCTGATGGGGAATAGGGATACACAGAGGAAGTGATGTTTGAAGTGGGCCTTGAAGGATGAGTAGAGTAAAAGGATTTGTAAAAGTTTTCAAAATTAGGATCTACTTCATGTTGATATCCTTGAGATCCAAATCTAGAAATGGCAAATTGAAATTTTTCATTTTCTTTCAAATGTCAAAACATTCTAGAAAGATACACAAGCAATATCATGATTAACCTAAGACATACTCTGATCTTAGTTGTTTTGTAATTTAATATGATTGGATTGTGGAAAGAAAAGAAGGTTTAGTTAAAACACGAGAAGAGAATAAAGTGGCTGTATCTATTTTTTGATCTTCAGAAAAGTCTTCAAACCGTGGACAATGTGCTCTTTGTCCCTACTACAGAAAAAGAAGTTCCCTCGGTAAGTATCATCCTATCAATCCAACCTTAAAAATATCAGAGGGGACCGAGAAGCAAAACAAATAACTTTTTCTTCTGACAGTCACCTTTAGAGCATTGAACAGATGCTTATAAGAGGACTTTTAGAAAATATACTTTCTTCTAATCCAGTGAGATAATGAGTAGGCTCACCAATAAAGATCTAGGCCTGCTCACACTGAGATATTAGTGATTTGGAACATTGAAAACTATTTCTACATCATATAATTGAATTAAAAATTTTATAGGAACAAACACCATGTGATATGACAGTCTTTTAGTATCTCTGTTCAAAATGCATAATATGATTCTAATCGTGAAGAGAGGCTGGGTGTGGTGGCTCACGCCTGTAACCCCGAGCAAAGGAGGTGAAGGCAGGTGAATCACTTGAGGCCAGGAGTTCAGGGCTGCAATGGGCTCTGAGCTCACAACTGTACTCCAGTCTGGGCAACAGAGTCAGACCTTATCTAAAAAAATTCATGAGGAAACATCAGCTAAACTTAAATTAAGGGACATTCTAAAATAATAATCAGCCTGTATTTCTTCAAGAAATATTTCATCAATGGCATGAAAAAGAAAAACTGTGAAACTGTCCCAGACTAACAAGAAACTGGAGGACATTATGCTAAGTGAAATAGGCCAGGCACAGAAACAAAAACGCTGCATGATCCCACCTGTATGTGGAATGGAAAAAGTCGAAATCGAAGCAGAGTAGAGTAGAATGGTGATAACTAGGGTCTGCAGGGGGAGGGTAGGTAGAATGCGTAGATGTTCATCAAAGGGTAAAAGTTCAGGATGTCTAAGTTCTGCAGATCTATTGCACAGCATGGTGACTATATTTAAGAAGAACTCACTGTATACTATAATATTGCTAAAATGTTCTCACCACAAAAAACGGTAAGGATATAGGTGATAGATATGTTAATTGGCTTGATTTAATCACTTAAAGATGTATAATGTGTCAAAATACAACATGTACATGATAAATATATACAATTTTTATTTGTCCATTATACTCTAACAAAGCTGGACAGGTGGTGGGAAAAAGAAGCAGAGTAAAGAGTTAAAAAAGCAAAACATAAAATAGATGATCCTGACCTGGATCCCAGACCAGAAAATAAGATTGTTATAAAGGACAATTCCTAGTGGCCTGTCCCAGCCCTGTCTAGAGGAATGAAGCCTTTGAAAACCTCTTAGAGACAAGTCCTCTCTCCAGCCCTCATCCTCACCTCAACTCCCCCTCCAAGGGGGTGGCAGGAAGGATAATTCGTAAAATGTAAATAAAGTCAATACATGAGAAAATGGTTACGTCAATGTTACATGTCTCAGTTCTGATAATTGTACTATGGCTTCCTACAAAAATTTCTTTAGTTTTAGAAGCTATTTAGAGTTAAAAGGACATGACATCTCTAACTTACTCTCAACTGGTTTGCAAGTAGCATAATAATAATATGCATATGCAAACAAACACATACAGAGAATGATAAAAGAAATACAGTAAAATGTTAACAATTAGTGAAGCCAGGTGAAGAGTATGGGAATTATTTGCACTATTACAATTTTTTGGTAAACCTGAGATTAATTTAAAACAAAATATAAAAAGGAATTTATAGGTCTGCCTTAGGAGCTCTTCTGAGAAAACATACAATTTACTCAACCTTGAAGACGTGGTGGTCCTTTGCCAACAATTAAGTTTTCCCACTTCAACTCTTAGAAACAGAATCCAACTCAGAAAGTAAGCAGATTTGCAATGAAACAAGTAAAACCAAGTAGCTTTTGATTCTTCAGATTGATTCATGTAATTTCACTTTCTAGTAGTGATCTCCAGGCTTATATTCCTGATATCAAAAAGTCTTACAAACCACAGAATGGGCATTCATTTCTTTTTTTTGGGAGAACAAATAAGACTCAAGCATAGAATGATCACTTCAAAGGAAATTTAAGAATGAGCATGTCGTGTGTAACCAGGAAAAGATACAAAGAAAGAAATTCCCTATTTCTTGTCATAAATATTAAGTGCGATGAACCCATTGCAGATACCTGTTTCCCTGGAAACCCACTCAATTGAAATTGCTGCAAAAATTAACATGTATTTTTTCCCCTTAAAGGGCAGTAGCTTCTTTTACTTACACAGTTTTGACCTTTAGTTTTATATCTTAGTCTTATTATAAGAAGTTATTTCCAGAACTAGGCAAACAAAGAGCTGAATACGTATCTTTTCATTAGTCCTGAGGCTTAACTTACAATAGTATGGCCTTTACAGCTGTACCAGATGTCTAGGGCAAGTATGGGTGGCTGGGGTACTATCTGCCAGTCATAGAGTATTGCAGTCTAGGCTAATAAACCATCAACCCACACACGATATTCTTACTCAAATGCCAAATGACTTTATCATATAGATAATTGAGTTAAACAGGCACAGGTGCAGCATAGTTCTGTATTTTAACAGGCAGTAAAGTTTAATAAAGCCAAGTCCCTCGTATAAGCCAACGCTGACAAATGTCATGGGGATACAGGTTCACAATATATAATCATCCTGTGTCAGGTCAGTGCCGTGGAGAATAGCTCTGGACTATGGAGGATTTCTGACTCTAATCTTATTTGAAAAGCTCAGCTGGTTCTGAATTTCTGGGACCCTGGCAGTGTGGATAGAGGGTCATATTTGTTCCAGTTCAGTCAAGAAGGCTGAATTGGCCAGTAACTGAAAGACCAATCTGTAAATACAGCTCACAATTAGAATTAGCCACAGAATAGAATAACTGGAGAAAGAAACTGGCCCTGTGCCTGGGCAGGTCATAAGCACAGGTGAGACGGTTCCCGTGGGTACACGCTTCTTAGTCTGCAATGCCACCATCAGAGGCTACCTTTGGCATCAGGTCACTGCATCTGCAGGGTACTCAAAACCCAAAGCCTCCCTGTCCTGGAGAGGTAAGGATGTAAGTCAGTACTGGTCACCAACACCTTCGGGGAATACGTTTTTTTATGGAAAATGAAAATGTTTTCTGAAACTGAAGAGGGAAGAAGCCTAGACTTTGTAGAGAACTGAAAATGGGTTTGGATAGCCCGAAGACTCCTATGTTCCTGGGAAAAGATGTCCTCAAGGGAAATAAGGACGCTGAAAGAGATGATTTAAGGCAACTGATTTCCTAACGTGTCGTGGAGCTGGTATTACGTTTTCAGGATGATCATAGCTTGTTTTAGGGGGCCAGTAATGATTTAATGTATTTTGCCTTGTCTTCCCCACAAGCAGAAATATGATTATCATACTGGAGGAAGGCCACTTTAAAAATGGAGTGTAGATTCATGTTTTTGGTTCCTCTGTGGTCAATTAATCTCTATGTTCTTTGTTGGAGAGAATGATTGGTTTAGCCAAGGTGAAATAGCTGGTTAAGTGTCAAAGCCAAGAACCAATGGTCATCTGTTCTAAACATTCTCCAGTGTGTTTACTAAGTGCTGGTCAACATCCCTAAGACACGATGCAGCAGACCAGCTGTGTAAGGTGAGGCTTTTGGGGATCTCTTGATAGCCTATCATCATTATGGCATTCACACATTTGCCTAGATTTGGCTGAAAACTCTTTGTAGTTTAAACCTATGCTCAGGGTCAGGCCTTGACAAACAATGAGATAGGTGATGTTTGTCTTTAGAGCATTGACAATGAGGTGAGTGCTGCTCACAGCTGACAAGCTGCACGGTGTTACTTGGCAGTCCAGTTCCTTATTATTCTTTTCTTTCTGCCTTATCCCTTGCTATCCTTACCCTGTTCATGGCCTCCTTTTATTCTCATTCTTTCCATTGTCTTTATTGGACCCTGTCAAGAGTAAAGGGAATTTTATCCGATTCATCCATTTGGAAAAGCTAATGACTTGACAAGATATCCAGCCAGTAAGTTTGTGTTTTGAAAGACCACAATGAAAGGGCAATGGTAGAATCAAAAGCATTCAGGGCAACCTGTAGGAGATGTCCTGGGTAAGGGAAAGACTGATTCTAGTGGTCACCTACGATGCCTTTGTAAGGCTGACCCTCCTATCAATATCTTTCCAACTTCAATGCAAGGTCCATCAGCCATCCACTTGTATCTAATTTTGTCTGAAAACTACCTGTTGGAAGAGTCAAGGGATTTGGCTATTGATTCTGTTCCTTCTGTGTCCATAATATTCCTGGCTATAGGAACTTC